CGACTTTGTAGTACAACTTTAGTACGCGGAGTATCTGGGGAGCTGGAAGATGAGAACTGGCGACTTTGTAGTACAACTTTAGTACGCGGAGCAATCTGTGGAGCTGGAAGCTGAGAACTGGTGACTTTGCAGTACAACTTTAGTACGCGGATGAGTCATCTCTCGCGGCTGAGTCATCTCTCGCAGCTGCTCTGGCGCCCCTGCAGCTGAGTCATGTCTCCCGACCACCCGGCTCTCTTAAAAGGTTGACACACACACAGAGACCCACGCACTGCCTCAACTTACTCGGAGACACACACACAGACAGAGACTCATACACACACAGACATAGATACACACACACAGAGACCCACACACTGCCTCAACTCACTCGACTTAACACTTCACACTGAACACTTAACAGATAACTCACACTCTGACTTCCTACGTGATGAAAAATGCTTTCGGGCCACTCGTCGTCTAGTTTTCAAACAACATTGAAAAGCCCAGCATTTCTAGGATAAAAATGCCCCCCCCCGCCAAGCTAAAGCTTAGAATTTATCTAGCCGGATTCCTTGCGACTTACACGAGCCCACACAACGCCCTCGGCACCTCGGGTGCGGGCGGATTTTGCTTACGCCAGCCGCCAGACTGATCGTTCCGAGTCAGAGAATTGTCTCATTGTGTCCTTTGAACTGTTTAATGATGATCATGTTCCTTTGATCCTTGGCATGGCTCTTGTGGCCCAGTTGGAACCCGCAGTTCCAGGACAACCTCGCTGCCAAGCACGTGGTAGTCCAGGTGAATTACGCAGGCGGATGTGGATATTTTGGCCATGCCATCGACAACGTTTTCCCACGAGTTCTGGCCATTCTACCTGGCGCCAAGAGGGCAAATCACACTGTGTCGGTGGTCATTCCAGAGGAGGCCCGAGAATTCTTCAGCCACTTGACAACTTGAAGGGCATGTTCCACGGAATGTTCCACTCCGATTTCGAAACGACGCAGGGCGGTCGCCGGTCGCCGTCCGGTTCAGACGAGGTCCAGTGGTCCATTCTCTTCGCCCTGAAACGGTTTGCCGCCGTTGAAGACGTGGCTGAGACGTCGCCCCGACGTCGCCACTGGAAGTTGCCGGTCCAGACTCATGTCACGTAATTGAACATCTTCAGATGAACAAATTCTTGGGGGGAAGACTCCGACCTTCCCGACACTGAGACCTTCCGAGGCTTGAGATGGCTCGGAACCCCCAGGCCCCAGGCCCAAACCCGCAGCGCTCAGTAAACCCCGAGGCCCAAACACCGAAACGCTCTTCCAAGCGCTGGGCATCGACGTGCTGGCCGATGCGCCCCGCACGCCGCATCGCATGATGGGCGTCACGCGGGTGGCCTCCTGGGATCGACGCTCAGCAGGCCAACGTCCAACGTGGAGAGAACGGGGTGTCCACCGGTTTTCCACCTTCCTTTTTCATGCGGAAACCGGTCACTTGTTTGGGGTGGGATGTTTTTGAGGAAGATCGCACGGAGAAATGCAATGACATGTCATGTCACCATGGCATGGCGCGAAGTTACGAGATGTTATGAGGCCTTTCATCACTTTCTTCCCATCATGATGCAATTACTATATCAGCTCATGTCATTCATTTCATTTCAACCAAAAACCAACGGCTTGAACTTTGATTCCACTCGCTCAACCAATGGCGACGGCTGCCTCGCTCAGGACTGGTGCGGCAGAACGCTCGAGCGGTGATTCGCTCGGAGCTCTTGGGCTCGGTGCGGCCAGCGACATGTGCAGATGGCAAAGCTGTTGGACAAGGAGGCCCGGTGGGAAGGAAGAGGCCTGTGGCAGCAGGCCTGAGTATGTTTGCACGAGCTGACTAAGTCATTATCCTTTTTTTGAATACGTTCTTTTCAGCACACGAGTGATGATGGTTACAGTAACTTCAGTGTCCCTCCTTGCTAAGCAGTATCTAGTGGATGCTAGCTAGTGGTGGATTATTTTCATGCAAGAATGGGTCCTGCTTCCACCTGGGATGTGTTCTGCTCTTCATTCAAACCAATTCAAGCTGCAAGAATCACATTTGCTCGGCTGGCAGGTGATCTCTGGGAAATGGTCTTCTTCTCAAGACATTCTGGCACGCGGAACGTGCGACATGTTGAAGGAGCAGAAGCTTTTGAAGACAAATTGAAGCTTGGCAATTGCAAGTATCATCTCTCTGAGTCTCGAGACCACGCCTCCCAAGTAGGTTGAAAAGGACATTTCTTGAAACATATTGAAACACTTCAGAGCCATATGCCATCATATCATATACTGTATGTATCCCAGTTGAAAAGAATCCGTGGATAGTCTTTCGGTTGTTGGACATGCTTGCTGAGCATATCTGAGCATACTACTGAAGCACAAGTTGATCTTGTTCACTGGCTGATGCAAAGCAGCTCCTGAGGCGACAAAAGGGCTGCTCGGATTTTGCCTAGACATGCTGCTCTTTGGATTCCGACACGGGCACAGGACTTGTGAAAAGTGCCGAGCATGAACGTGTAAAGATCGGCTAGAGACACCCATGCAGACAAAATTTTGTAAGTGCAGACACCTTCACAGTTGATGCTTTTCAACTTTTTTCCTTTTCTCTTTCATGAAGCCTTGATGCTTTGCAATGAAGCCTTGAGGCCTTAAGGATTCTTGAGCAGCCATCCGAGAGCTCGTTTGGCCAAGCTGAGGCTACTACATTTTAGATAATCCTGGCGCGATGTCCGTGGAGGATTTGGCCAAGCAGCTCTATACCAGAACCTGCCGCCTGGCGGGATTTTCTGGCACTGCCCTCCTCAATCTCATCTTTCTGCCAGATCATGCCAAGCTTGTGGTTCCTTTGCTGATGTTCAGTACTGGGTTGTTTGACGTTTGCATTTTCTACACTGAAAGTGACCAGAGGCTACACAAGCATGTTTGCAGGTCAGATTGCAGGTCTTACAGAGGCAAATTGGTTCTCAAGCCCTGATCCCTAAACTTACCCTGAACCTCTAAAACATTCAGGCTGTTTCAGGATTTCAGGTACCCTGAACCTCAACCCTTACCCTAAACTTACCCTGATTTCAGGATGTTTCGGGGTGTTTCAACCTCTTCATTCGGATGTTTCAGGAACTGAACCCCACGGGTCTCTATGCCGATTACTGGGAGTGGGCGCATGCCCTGGGAATGAGCTTCTTGGATATGCGCGTTTTCCCACGCGTCGCATGTGGGAGACGTGGCGTTGAGAGCTACAGATGGCCCAAACGAGACTTAGCTTCTTCAGCCCAAATGGGGGCGACCGAACGACGAATCCTCCTGGAGACTTCTTCCCGGACCAACGATTCGTCATCAGTACTTTGGTAATCCCAAATCTGTCGTAGCGAGACGTAGAACTGAACGAGAAGAGAACGAGAGTATGTTGACGGAACTGTGGGCCTCGATGTTAGGAGTTTCTGCCCAACAACGCGAGCGAAAAGGCATGATGACCGTGTTGAGCCTTCAGCCTTCTACAAAGGTGTTTGGCAATACAGTAAGGGTGTAACTAGGCCAACTGCCTTCACCCTTGTGCTTCCATTCAACCAACCCTTTCAGGAAACAATTCTTTCTGTCCTTGTGACATCTTCGGCAAGACGTTTGAAAGGGAACCTGTGTGTCGCAAGGCTATGCCCATCGTGCTCCCTCTTCCAGCATCAATGCATTTCAAGCTGATGCCCTTGTTGACTTTGTAGATGCATGAGGAAAATGACGGCAGCCGCTTGTGGTTGTGCCTGAGGAATCACGTGATTGCCATGCAAAGGAATCACCCACAATGAAGGATTCAATGCAGGACACCAAACCATGGACCATAGACCATGGAGCAGTTCATGAGAGATCAGAGACTATCAGGACGAAGCCATCGCAGCCGTTGGGGGAACTGTTGGCTGAGCGTTTCAGCTGTTGGCCATTTCAGCTGTTGCCGTTCTAAACCGGACTTTTCTCAAGTTGCGTCGGCTCAGACATCGAACAACGTGCTCGGCTCAGCAGATGTCATTTGGAGCAGGAGTGGATTGAACATAGGAGTAGTTCCAAAGATTGTCCATCAACATCCCTCGAACATCGAGCAGCGATCCCTCAGTAAGACTTAGTGGTCATGTCTTGGATGTACACTGGAGGACGAGGACGGGGTAAAACGCACCATGGCCACGTGATGATCAAAGCACCTGGCCCATTGACACCATGGCCACATCGGGAGCAGAAAGGAGCCTTGGGCAGGCTTTGAGGGTTGAAGAGCAACCATGTCAATGTTGTTTCAAAGTCATATGAATCATGGATCGCATTAATTTAAGTTTCAAGTACCTACCCCTCAGTCGAGTTGGTGGTTTTCCAATGACAACACCACACGTATAAAGCCGTACCCCCTGCTTTTTTGTGAACCACGACCAGGTCCCTCATTGCTTTCATGATCTTTCATGAGTTCTTGTGACGTTTATGTAGCCAAGCTGTGCCTTGAACCATGGAGATTCATCTCCCCCGCCCTGCTTGGTCCGGGTCCGGTACCGACACGCACCCATACGACCTGGCCGTCCGGCTTCCAACGAGGAGTTCGACAGGCTGTTGGGCGCCGTTGGGCACCGGTGGGGCTGTGGGGGCGAGGGCGAGGTTCTTCCGTTGAAGCGACTCGGGTTTTGAGAATCACCTGCAGTTCAAGCTGAAGTGCGTTTCTTTTGGTCCTGCATGTGATGTTGTTCCTTCTGTTAGACGCGAACAGCTCCGACATCGGAAAAAGGCGGATGTTATGTTTTGGGCATCACATGGTCTCACTGTCTCACCATGTATCACCTCAATTACGTGGAAACGGCCAGAACCTGGCGTCGCGTCGCCCTGACTGGACGCGAGGCTCTGGAAACCGAGGCTCTGCGGCGTCGCCCTCGGAGGCGGGTAGTGGGCACTTGGATCGATCGAAATCGGTGCTGAAGTTGAGAAGCACCAGGAAGGAAGGAAGTTGAGGTTGATAACACCATCCAAACACCACCCAAAACATCTCCAAACACCAAAAACCAATAGAAACCACCCTGACGGGACTTATGACCTGGGGCATTTGGTCAGGAAAACTTGTGAAGCTACAATGCTCTTGGAGATCCAGTGAAGTTTGAGCAGCTTCTTTTTCTTGTTGCGATTGATTCAAAAGCATGTTCGGAATCTGTAGCGTTAAAGAGACTTATTGGCAGTGAATGCAAGTCTAAGCCATTTCTTTTTGAGAGAGGCAGAAACTGTTCATGCAGCCACCCCTCAGATCCTTTGAGACACTTTGTTGGTGGATTTCACTTGCGACGCAAGAGCACGAGAAGCACTTGGCCAGGATAGATCAAAGAAACCGACCAGACCGTTTCCGGTAGAAACGCCTCTTTCAAATAGGATGCCTTACTTTGTCTTCGCACCTTTGCATCCCTTGCTCTGTTTGTGTCTAACCTCGCAGCCCCATGATCCGCCTGGATCGGCGCTCGTGCTGGATCCTGGATCGGCCAGGCGGAGGCCACCAGCTCGGCCGAGACCAACGAGGTGGGCTCGATCGGTGGAGCTGCGGATCGTTCTTACATTTTGTCGGTCCATTTTTGGTGGCAACTGAGCGGAATGAACCTTCCAAAAGAAATGAGAATTGTCTCATTGTCTATTTGCTTTTCTCGGGTCTCCCTCAGATCTCCAGTTGGAAATCTGTCACCAAATCTTGCTTCGACGTCTTTGTTCGTTGGAGGACGAGGGCTCCGAGAGCAGCTACACGTCAGAGGCAGAGGCGGGATCGGTTTTGTGGAAAGCGCTGGGAATGTTTGGATGGAAGAAGATGCACGGTGGGTGCTTTCTCAATTTCTTTTTCTTCTTCTGAAGGTGTGGAAGGTGGTTCACTAGGGCCGATTGGGCTTTCATGTTTTGTTTCCCGTTTCCAGGTGATCACACTCGTTTGAAGTTCTTTTGCAGAAGTCACAAGTGCCCATTTGCATGTTGCTTTGTTGAAGGTGGAAACTGTAAGCCAGAAGCTGGAGAAGGCCACAAGCTGGTTGCATTGTACAGTTACAGACTCAATTTTTGGAGATCTCATGCAGAAAAAAGTGCAAGCTTGTAATCCGTGTAATGCATTGGAAGGGGAATCAAGTCAGACCAGGGTCTTGGCATGCCGCAGCTTCTAAGATGCAGTGGAAGCCTGACCTTTTCCTTGAAAGCCATGCTTGTCACATGCTCCTTTAGATTGTTATCTTCCTTTTGCCAGGAGGCCAAGGTGTCGGTGCCCAGCACAGCTGAAGCCAGTCCACCTGGCACTCCCGCTCCTTCCGTGGCGAGAACCTCCTCGAAGGCACAGCTCAGAACTTTTGGATCCAATCGCGAAGACAAGCTTGGCAAACCTGTATGGACACCACCATTGGGGAATTGAGCCCAGAGCCCAGATTTTCAGAGGCTCCGAAGATCTTGAGCTTAAGACGTTGTGTGATCGCTTTTCTTTTGGCTGAACCGTAGAGCAGGCAACCTCGAAGACATCACCACAGGCGGAGTGCGCAACGATCCTCAAGAGAGCTGCTCGTGTGTAAGAGGATGGTGCGTAAATTGGTTTTGCGATGCAAATAATGCACAACCAAAAGGCTAGCATAACTGCATTACACTGTTGTCAGAATTTGATCGTTGTTGACAAACTCACTATTGGCCACCAACAGCTTTTGGCATGCTCTTGTAGCAGACAGTGGATGGGTCAAGATTTGACAAGGATGGCCAAGAAAATTATGTTGTGGGCCAACTTTGCTGTGCAGACCTTCCAATAGAGGACATCGATTTTCCGTTTCGTTTTGAAGAATGCACTGCAAGCCGCTTGTGCCCGCTGGAGGGCAACGAACGCTCGCTCTTGACCCGTTTCGCCAGGCCAAGCTGTCGCCCACAGCTGGAGCCAGTCCTCCTGGAACTCCCAGTGCTCCTTTGGCCAGAACTACACCAAAGGCCCGACGAGCGAATCGTTGGTCGACACCAGGGTGCTGGAAGATTGATCTGTTCCATGAGGTTGTGTGGTGGCTTTTCCTTTGAGAGCATTGAATGAACTGTTGCAACAGGCAATCCCGAAGACACCACAGGCAGAGTGCTGCGCAGCGACCGGGGCAATGTTGGTAGGGAATGATTTTTGGAAGGGTTTTGGTCGGAAGACTTTGGGGCAGAGAAAATCTCCAATAGCAGGCCGTTGCATTTGAAGAATTCAAGGATCCTTTTGTTGTTCACACCGCTTCGCGGTCGAAGCCGCCCGCACAGATTAAAGGGAATTCGGTGTGCGGCCCCGGAGCTGGCGCTACTGATTGTTTCCCCCCACAAGACCACTCCACCAATTTCTTCTTTCCTCCCACAAGATCTCGCCATCAAAACCACACACTCGATATCAATCACCTTATCTGCTCGGACAGGACACACGGCCGAACACACCCACGATGTCAATAGTGCAGTGTTCCCCGGATTGCACCTACCTCAGCAATGTCGGTATTGCTATGTCTACCGGCCAGCATATGCGGCATCGCCAATGCGTAGTACAAAAACATATCAATTTTAAATAAACGCAGCAAAGCATGCGTTTCTAGGAGAAAAATGTGACCCCCAAGCTAAAGCTTAAGAGCTAATCTAGCAGACTTCTTGCGGCTGCTGTTGATGCGAGCTTCCACAACGCCTCGGCACCTTCGGCGCGGGTGGACTTGTAGGACCTCTGTTGCCAAGAAGAGATTGGTGTGGATAGGTTCGGTGTGTATAGTGATGATTGATCCCTGTCTTTGATCGCCTGAGGCGGCAGGAGCCTTGTTTTATGTTGTTGTTTGCGATTGAAGTAGAGACCGATGTTTTGGGAGAGCCCAGCCTGGACCCAGAACTAGAAAAAGGCTTCAGGATACGTGGGAAGAAGTGTTTCTTTGCCATTGCCTTGTTAGTTCCACTTTCTTGCTATAGCCTTGATATAGCTGATACCCTGACGACTTGTAGGACTTTGATGTTGGAAGAGGACATTGGACACACTCCCCTGTAAAAAACAACACATCTGAATAAAAGGAACCTCTAAACTTGCACGGATAGATGTGGAGTTTCACATTGAACGCACTGTGCTGGACCTCTTCGGCATGTCTGACGACTGTGACGTTTGCCAAGGCGGAGGCCAAGGCCTCGGGGAGAGCCAGTTCTCCTGGCACTCCCAGGGCTCCTTCTGCCAGAACTTCACCAAAGGCGTCTACGAGCGAATTGGAGTGGCTGGTGGTTTTGGTGGGACAATTCCAGAAGTCGACACCAGAGGAGGGATGAATTTTTGGCAGGAACCGGAGCTATGGACTGTGGAAGACGAAGAAACACAGGTTTCTTCGGCCCCTGTGGCCCCTGTGGCCTGAAACTGTCGCCCCGGTTGCGGCAAGGCCACCCCGAAGATGTCGCCAAAGGCAGGGCTGGGCAAGGTCTCTTGAATGCCCCTTCAAAGTCTATTTAGGTGTTGTTGTTCTTCCTGTGTTAAATGATTTGTGTGGAGGAAGGATTGGTTTGGATGTCGACCAGGGGTAGTGCTCGTGCTTGGGAGGCAAGTTTTGCATTGTCCTGATCAAAGGGTACTAGTAATACTAGTATTTGCTGAGTGCTCCTTCCAATGACCAAGTCGCCGCAGGCGAAAGCCAAGAGCCCGGGAGCATCACAGGCCGGCCCTAAGATGAAATCAGACATTTTCGACAACACAAGCACACAATACATTCTTCTGAAACCTATAGTGGTTTCAAAACGTGAAAAAACACATGAAAACACAGACCTCCAAAAAAACACCACAAAGACGTTTCATTTGGAAAAGCAGGCCTGTTAAACAGTTAAAAACGCC